ATCGCTTCCGCATTGCAGCAGCAACATCGCATCTCGCACATAGCACAACTTCCCTTGTTACTGCCTGTTCCCACTCGTAAATACCCCCCCCCCTTTTTCAAGTCTTTAGGAAATATTCCTATCAGACAATTTCCCTGAGAATTTAACGAATTACAAAATGTGAAGCAGATAATATAGTAGATGTGAAGCAAACATACATCCAAATGTGAATGACAAATGCATATATCATTAAACACAATGAACCTACCTTTGATATTAGTCCACTGGTTAATACAATACATTAGCAACGCAATCAATGTTAAGAGTAATAATGTGCAACACTCAGCGAAAAAAAAATAAGTTAACGACAAGATATGAACAATTATCGTCCAATTGTATCTAATCGCGATATTCTTCTCTCCCTCTCCCTATCATTCTTTCTCTTTCTTCCTCTCTTTCTCTTTTTTTTTCTCTCTCTCCCTCTGCCTTCTTTTTTCTTGTTCTTCCTCTCCTTCCATCTCCCCCCCTCCAAAAAAAAAAAAAACATTACCTTTCAGCTACATGTCATGTCATTAGTCACTCTTTTTTGAAATATCTATGTATATAACTATATATATGTTGCAACACGTACTTTGACTATATATATTTTTTTACACCAATGTAATTTATGGCAACATTCTATCACCTATAAATCTACGTACTTTACATGTTCTGTGTACGAATTCAATGTAACGAAAAAGTCACGAGAGCAATCACCTCAAAAAGGTTCAGTCACGTATTATCATGTAGTAAAAAAAAAATGTAATATATCTCTTAGCAAAATAAATAATTTCAATTTCAATTTGAACTTCTCCCCCCCCCCTCCTGCCAGCTCGCCCTTTCCTTAATCCCCCTCCCTTCTCGTCACTACCCCCCCCCCTGGCTCACTCCCACATACCCCTTCCCTCCCCGTCTCTCCCCCCCCCACCCCCACCCCACCTGGAGGGTTAAGTAATAAACCTTCCAGGTCACATTGCCCCTTCTCCCCCTCCCCCCCTCTCCCCACCCACCTACCCCCCCTGTCCCTTCCTCCTTGGGTGAAGCCAACGTAGCAACAGTGCCGTCCCAGTGCCGAGTGCCAGGCGATGCAACCTGCCCCCCCCCTTCCCTCCCTCCAATCTAAAACCTACATGCTTCATCTCACCGTAATGAGGGCAGGAGAAGAAATGAAAAAGGAGTGCAAGATGTGGAGGAGGAAGAGGAGGAGGAAGAGGAGGAATGTGAGGAGGAAGTGAAGGAGGAAGAAGAGAGGATGAGGAAGGATGAGGATGAGGAGGATGAGGAGGAGGATGAGGAGGAGGAGGAGGAGGAGGAGGAGGAGGAGGAAGCCGAGGAGGAGGAGGAGGACGGGGCGGAGGAGGAGGAGGCGGAGGTGGAGGAGGTGGCTAGAGGTATGGGGAGAGAAGAAGAGATAGAGGTACTGAAAGAGACAAGAGGGAAGAGGAGGGGGGGCGAGGAGGGGGGAAGAGAGATGGAGAGGAGGGGAGAGGGGAGGCGTATGCGTGCTGATCCGTGTCCGTGCGTGAACGTGCGTGTGCGGTGCATGGCTGCGTGAGTGCCCGCGCGTGTGCGTGAGTCCGAGAGGGAGATGTAGCGGCGCGCCATCTTTCCTGGGCAGGTGGATGAGGCGACGGATATTGATCACTCCTTCCCCTCGCTTCCAACACCATCGCCAATCCCTGCCCACACTTCCCTCGCCACGCTCACCCTGCCCACACTTCCCTCGCCACGCTCAACCTGCCCACACTGCCCTCGCCACACTCACCCTGCCCACACTTCCCTCGCCACACTCACCCTGCCCACACTTCCCTCGCCACACTCAACCTGCCCACACTCCCCTCGCCACGCTCACCCTGCCCACACTCCCCTCGCCACACTCACCCTGCCCACACTTCCCTCGCCACACTCACCCTGCCCACACTTCCCTCGCCACGCTCAACCTGCCCACACTCCCCTCGCCACACTCACCTGCCCACACTCCCCTCGCCACGCTCACCCTGCCCACACTCCCCTCGCCACACTCACCCTGCCCACACTTCCCTCGCCACACTCACCCTGCCCACACTTCCCTCGCCACGCTCAACCTGCCCACACTCCCCCTCGCCACACTCAACCTGCCCACACTTCCCTCGCCACACTCACCCTGCCCCACACTTCCCTTCGCCACGCTCACCCTGCCCACACTTCCCTCGCCACACTCAACCTGCCCACACTTCCCTCGCCACGCTCACCCTGCCCACACTTCCCTCGCCACACTCACCCTGCCCACACTTCCCTCGCCACACTCACCCTGCCCACACTTCCCTTCGCCACGCTCACCCTGCCCACACTTCCCTCGCCACACTCAACCTGCCCACACTTCCCTCGCCACGCTCACCCTGCCCACACTTCCCTCGCCACACTCACCCTGCCCACACTTCCCTCGCCACACTCACCCTGCCCACACTTCCCTCAATATGATGATAGCATCTGTTGTAGTTAAAGGAGGGGGAATGAGAGGGGAGGAGGAGGAGGAGGAGGAGGAGGAGGAGGAGGAGGAGGAGGAGGAGGAGGAGGAGGAGGAGGAGGAGGAGGAGGAGGAAGGAATAGAGGAATAATAATAACACTCATGAGATAAAGATGAAAAATAAGAAAAAAAAAAAAGCAAAAAAAAAACAAACGTACGATTCTTCGCCAAGTGTAAGAGAAGAAGAAGAAGAAGAAGAAGAAGAAGAAGAAGAAGAAGAAGAAGAAGAAAGCAAGAGACGAAGGAGAAAAGGTGAAAAATAAGAAGAAACCTGAGCGGCGAAAATAAGGTTACATTTTAAGGAAAAATTATAATCACGTTTTTTAACGAACTCAAGCGGATGGTAACATGATCGGATGTAAAGGATTACTTGAAACGAAATTCAGTAATGAATACCAAAGTTATAGGAAACCATTTTTAAATAATGGTGAAAAATTATTTAAAACTGATAATGATGATGATGATGATGATGATGATGATGATGATGATAATGATGATGATGATGGTGGTGGTCCACGGTGATGATGATGATGATGATAACGATAATCAATAATAATCATGATTAATGTCCTCATTATCAACAACAAAAACACTAATAATAGTTTTGAAAAATCTTCAACAAACAAACAAGTCAAACACGCACTCCTCTCAAAGCACATGAGAGCCTCCCCCCCCCCCCCCCCCCGCTTCCTCTCTCTCTCTCCCCGGCATTCCACGCAACGAGAGACAGATAGGGAATGGAAGAAATTCTGATCGTGTCTGAGAGATGTCAAGGAGGTGTTGCCAAGTTGTTTTTTTTCTTTCTCTAATGATGATTACTTTTTTCTTAAGAGTTGAGATAGTGGAGCTATCTGTCTCGTTTGTTTTTTTTTTGTTTGTTTTTTTGTCTGTCTCCCTGTCTGTCTGTCTGTATGTATGTATATCTGCATTTCTTTCTATCTGTATCTCTTCCTATCCTTTATTATTTTCTCTTCCCCCATCTATTTATCCTCCTCTTCCTTCCTTTTTTATCCCCTTATTAAGGTTTCTCAAAGACATCTATTGACATCAAAGTGAAAGGACATCCTATCGCCAGATCTGCCAAGGCGTGAACACTTGTAACGTGTGGATGCGCAAATAAAAAAAATCTATTATTTTGAGAGAGAGAGAGAGAGAGAGAGAGAGAGAGAGAGAGAGAGAGAGAGAGAGAGAGAGAGAGAGAGAGAGAGAGAGAGAGAGAGAGAGATAAAGAGAGAGATAAAGAGAGAGAGAGAGAGAGATAAAGAGAGAGATAAAGAGAGAGAGAGAGAGAGAGAGAGAGAGAGAGAGAGAGAGAGAGAGAGAGAGAGAGAGAGAGAGAGAGAGAGAGAGAGAGAGATAAAGAGAGAGAGAGATAAAGAGAGAGAGAGAGAGGAGAGAGAGAGAGAGAGAGAGAGAAAGAGAGAGAGAAAGAGAGAGAAAGAGAGAGAAGAGAGAGAGAGAGAGAGAGAGAGAGAGAGAGAGAGAGAGAGAGAGAGAGAGAGAGAGAGAGAGAGAGAGAGAGAGAGAGAGAGAGAGAGAGAAAGACCTTTTTATACTATGATAAGTTTACTGCGACAAAAGCTTACAGAAGCACGAGGTAGCTTTCCTCGCCCAATCTCAATAAGTCCCAGCGCGGGCTCACATCACACGCAAAACTTGAGTACATTAACAGACGAGATTAGGTACAGCACTTGAAATATAAAAATACTGGCATTAAGAATCCATCGTTTACACATCAGGCGACTGAGATAACACGATAAATTCCTATTCTGATAATCACAAACAACACAAAAATAAAGGTAAGAACAAACCAAAAAACAAAACAAAGAAAAAAAAAGATACAAAGAAGAAGAGTAAAAAGAAGAAGAGACAGAGAAAGACAAGAGCGGAAAGAGAGAAAGTGAGAAAAGGCATCAGAGGTGATGGTGACCCCGCGAGACTGAGGTCATAACTTCAAGCAACACTGAACATGATGGCTCCTGACCAAAGTTCAGACGACGAAACTGTGAAAAAAAATTGGAGACGAACTTCCAAAAAGGGTAAACGTAGAAAGGCAATTTCAAAACATAAAACGAATTTCTAAATGACAGCAATAGACAACAAAACCGATTAAGTGACAACAGCCATCTTCATCACAATCAACACCATAATGCAAAAATAATGGTAACGACAACAAACACACTATCCTAATACTAATGATATTAACAATAACAACAACTCTGATGAAGATAACAAACAAATATCATACCATTATTACCACCACAACACCATCTTTAAAATAACACAAAACACCACCACCTTCACAACACCACCAGACACCCCCCAATAGCACAAAAACGCCGCCGCCAATCCTGCCCGGCGAAAGGAGCGAATCCCCCGCCGACGCCAACCGGTGCAATAGTGCAAACATGAGGAGGGGGCAGAACGAGGGGGGGTGGGGGTGCCTCGTGTCCGGCGGCCCCGAGAGACACAGGAAACCACTCACGATGGACGAGATAAGGCGAGGCCGCCGCCGTTCCGCGCCTTTGTTTGTAGTCGCCGTGCGCGCGTGATGGGGGAGGGTGGGGGATATGTGTGCCTATGTATGGAGAGTGAGTGAGTGAGTGAGTGAGTGGGTGAATGGGTGAGTGAGTGAATGAGCGAGTGAGTGGGGAGTGAGTGAGATGAGTGAGTGAGTGAGTGAGTGAGTGAGTGAGTGAGTGAGTGAGTGAGTGAGTGAGTGAGTGAGTGAGTGAGTGAGTGAGTGAGTGAGTGAGTGAGTGAGTGAGTGAGTGAGTGAGTGAGTGAGTGAGTGAGTGAGTGAGTGAGTGAGTGAGTGAGTGAGTGAGTGAGTGAGTGAGTGAGTGAGTGAGTGAGTGAGTGAGTGAGTGAGTGAGTGAGTGAGTGAGTGAGTGAGTGAGTGAGTGAGTGAGTGAGTGAGTGAGTGAGTGAGTGAGTGAGTGAGTGAGTGAGTGAGTGAGTGAGTGAGTGAGTGAGTGAGTGAGTGAGTGAGTGAGTGAGTGAGTGAGTGAGTGAGTGAGTGAGTGAGTGAGTGAGTGAGTGAGTGAGTGAGTGAGTGAGTGAGTGAGTGAGTGAGTGAGTGAGTGAGTGAGTGAGTGAGTGAGTGAGTGAGTGAGTGAGTGAGTGAGTGAGTGAGTGAGTGAGTGAGTGAGTGAGTGAGTGAGTGAGTGAGTGAGTGAGTGAGTGAGTGAGTGAGTGAGTGAGTGAGTGAGTGAGTGAGTGAGTGAGTGAGTGAGTGAGTGAGTGAGTGAGTGAGTGAGTGAGTGAGTGAGTGAGTGAGTGAGTGAGTGAGTGAGTGAGTGAGTGAGTGAGTGAGTGAGTGAGTGAGTGAGTGAGTGAGTGAGTGAGTGAGTGAGTGAGTGAGTGAGTGAGTGAGTGAGTGAGTGAGTGAGTGAGTGAGTGAGTGAGTGAGTGAGTGAGTGAGTGAGTGAGTGAGTGAGTGAGTGAGTGAGTGAGTGAGTGAGTGAGTGAGTGAGTGAGTGAGTGAGTGAGTGAGTGAGTGAGTGAGTGAGTGAGTGAGTGAGTGAGTGAGTGAGTGAGTGAGTGAGTGAGTGAGTGAGTGAGTGAGTGAGTGAGTGAGTGAGTGAGTGAGTGAGTGAGTGAGTGAGTGAGTGAGTGAGTGAGTGAGTGAGTGAGTGAGTGAGTGAGTGAGTGAGTGAGTGAGTGAGTGAGTGAGTGAGTGAGTGAGTGAGTGAGTGAGTGAGTGAGTGAGTGAGTGAGTGAGTGAGTGAGTGAGTGAGTGAGTGAGTGAGTGAGTGAGTGAGTGAGTGAGTGAGTGAGTGAGTGAGTGAGTGAGTGAGTGAGTGAGTGAGTGAGTGAGTGAGTGAGTGAGTGAGTGAGTGAGTGAGTGAGTGAGTGAGTGAGTGAGTGAGTGAGTGAGTGAGTGAGTGAGTGAGTGAGTGAGTGAGTGAGTGAGTGAGTGAGTGAGTGAGTGAGTGAGTGAGTGAGTGAGTGAGTGAGTGAGTGAGTGAGTGAGTGAGTGAGTGAGTGAGTGAGTGAGTGAGTGAGTGAGTGAGTGAGTGAGTGAGTGAGTGAGTGAGTGAGTGAGTGAGTGAGTGAGTGAGTGAGTGAGTGAGTGAGTGAGTGAGTGAGTGAGTGAGTGAGTGAGTGAGTGAGTGAGTGAGTGAGTGAGTGAGTGAGTGAGTGAGTGAGTGAGTGAGTGAGTGAGTGAGTGAGTGAGTGAGTGAGTGAGTGAGTGAGTGAGTGAGTGAGTGAGTGAGTGAGTGAGTGAGTGAGTGAGTGAGTGAGTGAGTGAGTGAGTGAGTGAGTGAGTGAGTGAGTGAGTGAGTGAGTGAGTGAGTGAGTGAGTGAGTGAGTGAGTGAGTGAGTGAGTGAGTGAGTGAGTGAGTGAGTGAGTGAGTGAGTGAGTGAGTGAGTGAGTGAGTGAGTGAGTGAGTGAGTGAGTGAGTGAGTGAGTGAGTGAGTGAGTGAGTGAGTGAGTGAGTGAGTGAGTGAGTGAGTGAGTGAGTGAGTGAGTGAGTGAGTGAGTGAGTGAGTGAGTGAGTGAGTGAGTGAGTGAGTGAGTGAGTGAGTGAGTGAGTGAGTGAGTGAGTGAGTGAGTGAGTGAGTGAGTGAGTGAGTGAGTGAGTGAGTGAGTGAGTGAGTGAGTGAGTGAGTGAGTGAGTGAGTGAGTGAGTGAGTGAGTGAGTGAGTGAGTGAGTGAGTGAGTGAGTGAGTGAGTGAGTGAGTGAGTGAGTGAGTGAGTGAGTGAGTGAGTGAGTGAGTGAGTGAGTGAGTGAGTGAGTGAGTGAGTGAGTGAGTGAGTGAGTGAGTGAGTGAGTGAGTGAGTGAGTGAGTGAGTGAGTGAGTGAGTGAGTGAGTGAGTGAGTGAGTGAGTGAGTGAGTGAGTGAGTGAGTGAGTGAGTGAGTGAGTGAGTGAGTGAGTGAGTGAGTGAGTGAGTGAGTGAGTGAGTGAGTGAGTGAGTGAGTGAGTGAGTGAGTGAGTGAGTGAGTGAGTGAGTGAGTGAGTGAGTGAG